TTGTGTGGTGAAGACCCCTCATCCAAGGAGAGCGTGTCAGGAACAAGCTCTTAAAAGAGCTAAGTGACTCAAGCTCAGGGGAGCATGCAGAGCATAGCAATCCCCAGTGTGATTATAACAGCTCCCTCCAATAACGAGACAAGGCTACGTTTAGAGGGATCAAGAAGAACTGTCAAAACCTTTATTCCCTTGGGACCAGCCAATACAGTCACCACAATAACATTGTTGTGAAACCTCAATAAAATCACAAACAGTCAAACCATATCAAGCAACACACAGTGACTTATCACAACACAATGGCACATTTTTAAAGGGGTGGGGGGAGACAATATTTAACAGTAAATATCTCACCTGCCTGCAGAATTAGCAATATGCAAATCTACCCGAATATGCAAATGAACCAGTCTTGCAATTCAGGTAGTGCATATTGCTGTTGCTACCAACAGAGGGCACTAGACCAGCTCCATAGCCAAACCCACCTAGTTGGTGGCAAACCTCCGCAATACAAGAGAGCAGGCAATACATTACACAGTACACACATACACACTATAAACAATTACATTACACACACCCTGCACCTATAATGGGTACAGGGTGACTAAAACATAAGATAAATAAAGCAGCCTACATAAATAGTCTGTCTGAAGGTAGACTAGGGGCTTTAAAGGCAAATACATCAAAGAGTCATAGTCACAGGGGAGGAGGCTGGCAAGTAGGCCTCTCCAGGACCAAGTGGCGAAGGGCACTTCGTCACAACATCCGTGTGGTTTCTTTTCCAAGCAGATGTCCAAAGCCGAAAAGAATTAGGACATAGGCCATCGGGAACTCCTTGCCATTATTTTAGCACTTAATGAATGGAGACATCTTTTGGAGGGCACTAAGGATCCTATCCTCATACTTACCGATCATAAAAACCTTTCCTACCTTAGTGAAGCCAAGAGATTGTCTTCTAGGCAGGCCTGGTGGTCTCTGTTTTTATCTCATTTCAAATATATCATCACCTACAGACCGGGTGATCGTAACACTAAAGCTGGTGCTCTGTCCAGACAGTTCGAAACAACCGACAAACAGGAGCTTGATGATACCCCTGTCATTCTCCCGGACAGAATCATTGCTACTACTGTTCTTTCTATTTCTTTGTCCATACAGGCTAAACAAAACAAGGCAACTAGAGAGAAACCTGCTGATAAATTGTTCATCGATGTTCCTGAAAGACAGGAAATCATGTCACTCTATCATGACACCAGAACCGCTGGTCACCCTGGTATCGCTAAAACCTTAACAGCAGTTTCTAGATATTTCTGGTGGGCCTCCTTGTGCAATGACATCACCGATTAGGTACAGGCATGTGTTACTTGTGCCAGTATGAAGTCTTCGCATAGAGTTCCTTGTGGGTTGTTGCATCCGTTACCCATACCTGAGAAGCCTTGGTCTAATCTGTCCATGGATTTTATTGTTGAGTTGCCACCTTCAAATGGTAAAACAGTCATCCTGATGATCGTGGATAGATTTTCTAAGATGGCTCATTTTGTCTCTCTTGTCAAATTGCCCTCATGCAAGGAACTCGCCTCTATCTTCACCATTGAGGTGTTTAGGTTACACGGTATACCAGAGTCTATAGTGTCTGATAGGGGTAGCCATTTTATTTCTAGATTCTGGAAGGCCTTTTGTTCAGAGATGTCCAATGGAGTTGCTGAACGTGCCAACCAATCCCTAGAGCAGTATCTTCGCTGTTTCGTATCCCACCATCAGAACAATTGGGCTGACCTTTGCTCGTAATAACGCTACTCATGAATCTTCCGGTAATAGCCCTTTCTACGTTGTTTATGGCTGGCATCCTGTGGTTCTTCCATCTGCATTCACCTTGCGGGTAGTGATGTACCGAACGGTTCGCCGGCGAACGGTTCCCGGCGAACATAGCATGTTCGCGTTCGCCACGGCGGGCGAACATATGCGCGGTTCGACCCGCCCCCTATTCGTCATCATTGAGTAAACTTTGACCCTGTACCTCACAGTCAGCAGACACATTCCAGCCAATTAGCAGCACAGCCTCCCTAGCAGACCCTCCCACCTACTGGACAGCATCCATTTTAGATTCATTCTCAAGCTGCATGCTTAGTAAGAGGAGGGAAAGTGTAGCTGCTGTTCATAAGATAGGGAAAAGCATAGCTAGGTTAGGGATAAGGGTATGCTTTTTTTTTATTTTATTTTTCTATGTAATGTAAATGCACTTAGTTGTCTGCCACTGCTGCCAGCTTCTGTGTCAGGGTGCCCATTTCCCCAGTCAGTGCCACCAATTACATCTGGTGTCACAATAGCTTGGATTTAAAAACAAAAAACTTTTTTCACTGTTATAGATTGGTATAGATTGAATAGCAGTCAGTGTCCTTAAAGCGGGTGTGTTACGCTAACAGTGGATACGCTGACCAGTGCCACCAATTAGATCTGGTGAAACCAAGCTTGGATTTAAAAAAACAAAACACTTTTTTCACTGTTATAGATTGAATAGCAGTCAGTGTCCTTAAAGCG